CGGATATTTTTTTTAAGTTCTCTGGACTTCTGCGACTTTCTCAATTTTTCCTGAAATTTCATAACATTTCTCGAGTAATTTGGAATTTCCTGAAATCTCTGGAACGTTTCGAAGGTCCTAAATATTTCCCGAAATAAGAACGAAATAATTAATTTAATTCTTAGATTTTCAATGAAGTTCTCGAAATATTTCAAAAGTTAATGAAAGTGATCATGTATAATCGAAACGAATCCTTCAACATCTTAAAACTTCCCCAAAATTCCAGACGTTCCTGATGTTTAACATGCTTACCTGATGTTACTAGAACTACAAAAAAAAATCACCAAACATCGCTTAAATCACTGGACTGAATTTCTCGCTATTTTTTAAAGTTCCCGAAATTTTCCTTAATTTTCCTAAAGTTTTGAAAACTTTATTGAAACTCTCGGAAGTTCCCCTTAAAATATCCTATTTTACCTGAACTTCGCTTAAATTCACTTCTTTGAAGTTGCCTATATTTTCTGGAAATTTTCTTGATATTCAATGGTCCTGAAGTTTTCGGAACATTCCTGAAATTACTCAACTATGAATTCGTGTCACTTGGGTGCTTTAAAATCTCTAATATTCTTTAGAGTTTTTGAAGGCTTAGAAACATCTAACAAGTGCTCGGAATTTTCTTGAAAATAATAGAACTTCCATGAAGTTCTCGGATCTTCGTTGAAGATCCTATTTCTTTAAGTTATCGAAACTGCCATGGAAATCATGAAACTTTTCTTAAAATAATCTCAGATTATACTGCTGTTCATGTAACTTCCCAAACGTTTCCTTCATTTTCCTGAAGCCCTCAGAACTTTGCGGATGTTTTCAAAAATTTCGGAACGCCGTCAAAATTCTCAAAGCTTCTTTGATGTTCTCTCAATGCTCTTGAAGTTCTTCGTACGATCCTGAAATGAATGGAACTGCCATAAAAACCTTTAAACTTCGCTGAAATTCTCTGTACTTCTCTGAAGTTTCCGAAAAATTACTGATGATTTCATACGTTCCCGGAGTTGTCTGGAGCTTTCTGAAATTTTCGGAACTTCTTTAGGGTTCTCGAAATTTTCCATAAGTTAATGGATCGGTCTTGAATTTATTGGAATTCATCCTTACTGATGAATACTTTCATAAATTCTTTGGAACTTCCCTGCAATCATTGAAACCACCCTTAAGATCTCTGAAAATCACGTAAGATCTCTTAACCTGGATTCTCTGAACTACTGGGAACTTCTTAAAAGATTCAACAATTTTTCTCAAGTTCTCTTGAATTCCCTAAAATTATCTGGAAATCCCAGAAGTTTTTAAAATATCTTCAAAAATGCTGCAGCTTTTCTAAAGCTAAATGGGACCACCTTGAAGTTTCTCTGGACTTCCCAGAATGTTCTAAAAGTTTTCAAAACTTCCCTTACATATGTTCCCACAGTTTTCAAGGAACTTTTCAAAAATTCCCGGTATGTTATTTCATTATTCCGAACTTCATTAAAGTTCCTACAATGTTTGAGAAGTTAATAAGACTATACTAAAGATATCTAATATTTCCTGATATTCATGGAACTACCCTGAAGTTCCCCTCTATTCTTCTGATCACGTTCTTGTCATTGTCCTGGACTTCCCTGAACTTCATAAATCTTCTATAAAGTTTCCTAAATTTTTTCAACATCCCTGAAGTTATTTATTTATTTTATTTATTATAGTCTCTTCAACGCTCTTGAGTTATTCGTGACTTGTCCGGGGGTGAGATTTGAACTCGTGACTTTGGTGTGAGATGTATGGATGCTTACCACTACGCCCGGGTCGCCTCCAAGTTCCTGAAGTTCTTTGGACTATCCTTAAATTGTTGGAACTTATTGAGGGTTTCCGGTATTTTCCTGAAATTAATGGAACTGTCCTCATAGAGCTATGATCTCGCTTAAATTGAGATAAGAAGTAGAAGAATTTTGTAAAAAAAATGAAGAAAATAGGTAATCGGGTTAAATGGGTGTTCAGTGTTCAGCTGGAAGAATGTTGACAGTTAGGGTGATTTGCCAATTGTTGCACAGCTATGCACACGATTTTTGTAATTTTGCGAATTCACGGGTTTGAAAATGTTTTTAAGTAGGAATTCCCGAAGAAACCGATGAATGCAATTCATTAAGCATTTCCAGAGCATATCAACAATTTACATTCGTAAAAAACTGCCTTATAATAAATCTTATGCAATCGATATTCTGAGACTATTTCCACCATTTACAGTTGAACCAAGACCTTAGCCTTTAAAATCCAAACCCCCTTATCACTGATAAACCCAAACCCAAAATTTCATCAATTTTGGTACACTGGAACTATTTTAAATAAGAACGATTACATTTGCAAAAATCACCTTTTCAGCGCCCCTCGATGTCACTTTGTATGGGAACGAGCTGTCAGTTTGTCAGTTTAGTGTCAAAAAGTGAAGTTTTTATTTTGCTTTGAATCTTGATTTAAAAATCGAGATGAAAGTAAGTGGGTTCGAAAAAAATATCGCTGTGCTCAGAAAACGAAGCTCTTTCAGATCTATATATATATAAATGAATTTCTGTCTGTCTGTCTGTCTGTCTGACCCTTATAGACTCGGAAACTACTGAACCGATTTGCGTGAAAATTTGTATACAGGGGTTTTTGGGGCCGTGGAAGGTTCTTATGATGGTTCGAGACCCCTCCCCCTTCTGTAAGGGGAGGCTCCCATACAAATGAAACAGAAATTTCTGCATAACTCGAGAACTAATCGAGCAAATGGAACCAAATTAGGCATGTGGGGGCGAGTGTGGGGGTATAAGGAGATAATCATAGGGGGTAGCCCCTTAGATAATAGGGGAGGGGGGGGGGCTACGTACAATATAGCATGCTTTTTTTTTTAAATCGGCGCATAAACTCAAGCTAATATTGAATCCCGAGCAAGACCGGGCACACTCAGCTAGTGATATATAAAAACCGATACATCTTTCAAAATTAAGAACCCAATTGGGAAGCAATAATAACGAAACTCTTTGCATGCAGCATTACAAAGTATTTGGCAATTATCGTCTTTAATTCAAGCGAGAATATAAAACTCAAACCGATGCCAGACGACAGGGTAATTTAAAACGTGACACTTATTTGCTACAGCCAGATATTGAAAGTAACTTAAAGGCCATAGAGTTCCAGTGATATTCAAGCAGAACAGCACTGCAGTTTTCGGAACTACACTGAAATTCACGTAATTTTTATAAACATCTATAAACTTTGGTGAATTTCACTGGAATTGCCTGAAACTCTCTTCTCAAATTTCCAACAATTTCCTTGGAGTTCTTTGGACTATCCTTAAATGTTTGTAAATTATTGGAGGTTTCCGCTATTTTCCTGAAATTAATGGGACTGTCCTGAAGTTCTAGAAATTTACCTAAAGTTCTCGGAACTGGCATGAAGTTCCCAAAATATTCCTGATATTCATGGAACTTCCCTGAAGTTTTAAGAACTGCACCAAGGCTTACTGAAAAGCTGTTTGAAGTTTTCCCGAAGCTGATGGAAAGTTTTTGAAGCTTGGTGGTCTCCAGTGAATTTCCCCGAAATTTTTGGGAGTGTTCTGAAGCTATCGGAAATTTGAGCGCATATGCACATAAGGCGGCCCAAATTAAACTAGACTATTTGTACGATTTGCATCTGTTGGGCGCATAAAGTTCTATATCTGAAGCGCTTACATATTTTAAGGCTCATTTGTAAGTAGATCTTCTTTTCAAACGTTCGTTTTTGAGTTTGGAATTTTTTAAATCAACATTTAAAGGTTCAAATTTAATCTGGATGCAGACAGAACATTTCTCATGATGTATATTTGCAGCGCAATTTTGCTTGTTGATTGTTAGGTTGTTCAATAAACGGATAACCATCATTTTCCAAATTTCATAAGTTAATTGAAGTTTTAGCTAGTAATAGTTTCTGTTGCATCTGAGGATTAAATATAAGCAGAAAAATTAAAAACTCGCCTGAAATCATACGCTCAATTCTAAACATAACATAACCACGATCGGTAAACGTTATGATCCTAAATAATTGCAACACAGTTGCAGCAATTGGGTAGTGTACTACAATTGTTGACCAAAAAAATCACGAATTTGTACGAGCAACTTCGACCCAGCCCAAGCTAGGTCATAGAACAAAGCATACCGATAAATGAGCATGAAACTTCAAAGTATAAAAACCATTCTTCTTCTTCTTCGCATTTCAAGCTTATATCTAATCGCATATAAGCTTATTGCGTCTTCTCAACATAGATGCACTTTTACAGTTATTAATTGAGAGCTAACGATGCCTGTTCCGTTTTTTTGCATTAGTGTTATTCTGTGGTTTTAAGTACAAACATACTCTAAGCTCAGGGAAGTCGACAAAAAATTTCCAACCCGAAAAATTCCTAGACCTGGCTGGGTTCGATTCCCGGTCAGCATGGTCTTGCTTTGTTGCTGCACAATGTACACACCATGGCCACGTTCTACATTGCCAATGAAATAGATCTTTCGTTGTCATCATTCATTAAAAATAACACTCGCCAACCCTGACCTCGATTGCGTGCAGATTCGCTTCGTTTCTGTGCCAGGTTTATGTCAGCATAATGCGCTTATCGATGATGATATTCGCCTTAGTTTATTATTTATTTTTTGCGCAGCATTTTTTGACTTACCGGTTCACCACGTCCACCGCCACCGGTCGCGCCGTTGTTGATCTGCACATTTCCCGGACGATCTTTATTACTACAACATTTTAATTATGATACCCTCGACTCGGCGGCGCACGATCGTAAAACTCATTCAAAGTGTGGCGAATAACGACCTGAACCAGCTTTTATGCGATCATTGAATTATCTTGATTGTTTCCAGCAATGTGTGTGGCCACCACTGCGGTTTGCTAAGGGATTTGTCAGTTTTTTTTTATAAATATCTGAACCTATTACTCTATAAGAAGTTTCAAAAGTCTCTCTTCCAATTCTCATTTCCCAGACCGGTTTCCTACGGACCAACAAAACGGAATACTGGATAGAGCCATCGAAGAATCATTCCCCTTCGGACAAAGACGGCCATCCCCATGTGCTATTTAAGCGAGCAGACGTCAAAGAACCCAAGGACACTCGGGCAAAGGTAGTTTCCCGATAGCAACAAAATCAAAATCCAAACACTCATTTTGTTTTCCCACCCAGACAGCCAAGAAAAAGAAGAAGAAACGAAAGCGTCGTCACGCGAGCAACTGCGGCACCAAGGAACCCCGAAGGGTAACCGAAACCCGACTGGAGTGGCAACACCAGGGAAAGGTAATACTATCCAGGTGCTTCGCGGCACTTGCCTAAATCCGTCGTAGTCAGTAGAACAAGAACAAGCGAGAAATTTCCAAAGGCCTCTCTCGTCTCGTCCCGATCCCGATATAGGTGATCGTACAGGGTGGACGAAAAAGTCGCGATCTTCCCGTGGTAGCATCGGCCGGCTCCGGAACCTCCGGTGGCAGGAAGCAGCGCATCAAGCGGTCCATCAGCTCACCGCGGCACGTGGAAGCACTGGTCGTGGCGGATCACTCGATGGCCCTGTTCCACCAGGACGTGGACCTGCAGCAGTACCTGTTGACGATCATGAACATGGTCTCGTCGCTGTACCGCGATCCGACCATAGGCAATTCGATTCAGGTTACAGTCGTGCGAATCATTATCCTGGAGGAGGAAGAATCGCACGCGGACTTCAACGTGACGCACATAGCGATTAACACGTTGGAAAACTTCTGCAGGTTTGTTGCTTCATTGTGCGTTGAAGTCTTTTGCCAGCGGAGAGGTGAATTTCGTTTCCTATTTCGTTGACAGGTGGCAGCGAAGCTTGAACCCGAAAGACGAGAACGATCCGCATCATCATGACGTAGCGATTTTGGCCACTCGGAAGAATATCTGCTCGGCGCATGGATGTTCGTAAGTATTATTCTTGCTTTCCTATTTGAAGCTTCAATTGAAATTGGATAGGTTGTTATTACGGATGAGAGGATAATGACTAGCTTATGCGTCAAAATGGTTGGTAATCGATTGGCAGTGTAGTACTAAATTAAGTTGCTTTGAAGTATCTGAATACCAATCGTACGTCAGATTTTGATGGGTCACGAACGCAACAGAGAAGACCTGAACTGATTGAGAACACGAAGAAGCAATTGTCATGTCAAAAGCTTACTAGGGTTGAGTTCGTAATTACTTTTGGCAGCAAATTTCTACGTACATACATTTCTTATGAGCACGATCCACACAAATAAATGGAAATTCATCGAATACATCACATACACATACATGCCGCTTTAAATCATAAACTGGATCTCAAATGCAGAGTAATGGTGGCCATTAAAATAGCACAATAGGCCGATTTTCATGCAAACTGGTCAACTTTGGTATGTTGAAACTATGTTTTGTTATTATCAATTGACCTGAAATTTTGACACAACCAAACCCAGCACCCAGAAACAAATCAAAATAGAGACAACAGAATCAATGAGTGATCTTCCACTCAGCTGTCAGTTTTGGTTTTGAATTGTAGACCAACTGTCCAGATTTCGAGCCTTTACGGTACTGAATTTGGTTTTATGAACCTGACTGCTCGTTGCTAAGTGTATCGTCCCTGATCTCCAGAACGGATCAGGAAAACTTTGTGATGTTAGGTGCACATTGATTTATAAAGTTGTTTTGCCATGACTAACATTACTTAGTTTCCGAAAGTTAGGTGAACATGTTTGGAAGCTAATTATGAATTCAAAGTGTTTTTATGTTACTTCATATGCGAAGTTTGCGACTTTCAGAGTTGGTTGGAAATGCTATCTAACATGAAGTTTTAGCGTGATAATTTATTAGCTAGAGAATGGTCTTAGAAGAGGGTAGGTAGATAGTTCCGTTAGAGTACGGCAGTATGAAAATTGAATAGAAGTTGAAAATGAGCGAAGGGCCATTAATGAGACAGTGCAAGTCAAATGCACACTCTCTGCCTAACCCGTACGATGTACGCGGAGATTTGAAATACGTCTTCAAATCTACAGGCAAAAAATTGTGCGCTGGACTTTCCTCAAATACTGTCCGCGGTCGTGGAATAGTTCTAGCGACGTTTCATCACTACCTAAAGCCCCACTTTGCCGAAAGCATTTCCAGTCGATGGTGTGTTATAATGCAATTCTTCTTTACCCAACTATTGTGTTGTTCCTCTCGTCATAACCAACTTATCGAGGCCTTTTTGTTTTCCTCTGTTCGGGACCTAACACTACTGCGACCAATTTACTGATCTATTGTAGTATATTCCGTGTCATTAGTATAGTGCATGTCGTATTACTCCATCACTATTGAGCAATCATGAAGTTTTCGGTTTTTTCACAGTTTTCATTCTTGAATTTATCGCAAGGATCCGACTCTAATTGAAAGGTTCCGCTATTTATACCCTTCGGAGTGTTGAAACACCCTCCAAAGGCACACCCCTTTGTCAGTCAAAATTTGATTCCTTAGCAAAAAAAATAAGGAATGACACCGATAATGACCATGCATCAGAACCCTAGTATTAACCACTTCAAACTAGAGAACAACGAATAGAAGATTAGGAATCACATAGATGAAGACTAACTAACTCATTTTTTCCTTGTTTCAAGATCATCCCCGCTGGACAAAGCCAAGTCTTGTCACTATCAACAAGGCATAAAAAGAAACAAGGACTAAGATGTGTTCCTTTGATTACTGAAAAATCCTGTTCCCCTAGTTTGAAGCAGTCAGGACTAGGAATCGGTGGTAGATCTTACATCTTGTAACGTACCACGAAAAGGTGATCTATCTACGTTACGGGGCTATATCGAGGCCTTAACAATCGTTACGTCAGTCATAGCTTGTTATGATGTAAGACTGCAAGAAGCACGATAGCCTGAACTATGCGTAAAGAGCAAATCCTAAGGCCTAAGTTCTTTTTCGTAGCTTTTAGATTTCGGATTTGAAAGATCGTCGGTTGCAGTGACCTGCTAACTGATCAGAATAATGCGATCCCAGATGCTTTCATATTAAAGAGATGTATGGTCAAATAGTTGGTTTATCGTGTATTTTGTGAAACTTGTCGTCGTCGGTTTCGAGTTTGAATGGTTACAACCGCTCGATTAAAGGTATGATGTGATATGAGGGTCTCGATGGCCTTAGAGCGATCGTTTTTGCTTACTGAGCAGAACATCATGCCTCTAATCTCAGGCCCATCCACATTCAAGATTCGTCAATTGCTTTGTTTGTTAATATGACTGCATGGTAATAGCAACAACTCGATGATCAAAAAGGAGCTCGTTTGTTTAGTGGCAAACGTTTTTGCTTACTGAGCAGAAGATCGCGGGTTCAATCTCTAGCTCCTTCGCGTTAGGACATCAATTTAGCTAATCGTTCACCAAAATGAACCCTGCTGCAAACCCAACCCTATTACCCAATATCCCAGTGATTCCTCGTGGAAGTGCAGAGGTGTTCTCGGCTTCCATCAAAACGAGTGTCACGTCAACACATTCCTATCCCTTCATTTCTTAACCTGTGTTCGGACGTGGCCGGCGCTGGTATTGCATAGTTTGAGATAACCAGTTTTTACCAGGCATTAAAATTATCTGATAAATGGTGATAATATCATCTATCAGATAGAGGCCTATCACAGTGATAGGTTTCTATTTGATAGATTCTCTTTCAGTCTATCATGATAGAACCTCTATCCCATCTCTGATACTATCATGATAGACAAAATGATAGATAGAATCAATGATTGGATAGGAGAGATAGAAACAATATCATTTTCGATTGCTATCATGATAAATGGTCCATCTGATAGTTGAACTATCACATGATAGAGATGGGGATTCTATCTGTTTCAATGATAGTTCGAACTTATAAATTTTCTACTGAACAACGGACAATTCACCTCCAAATGGTCAACATAAAAAACATTCCAATCTGAATCAATATTTATATTTCGGACCGGGGACGAAGTGTAGATGCCGAAAATTGGTTTCTGTCCTTACAGTATGGATATTTTAAGAACGAAGATGACGTGTAAATACCGGCCACAATGTTCGCCATCATTTTAAAATCCAAGATGGCGGTTTCCGGTTACATTATAATTGAGAAATATTGTTTAATACCCTTCAATATGAGTATTTTCAGAATCGAGATGACGTCTAAGGACCAGAAATCGATCTCCAGCGCCATCTTGAAATCAAAGATGGCGGCGACCGATTTCAAAAAAATTGGAAATACTGCCAAATACCCTTCAATATGGATATTTCTAGAATCGGGATGACGTCTAGAGAACAAAAATCGATGTTCAGCGCCATCTTGAAATCCAAGATGATGGCTTCAAATTTCAGAAAAAGTGGGAAATACTGCCAAATACCCTTCAATATGTCTATTTTCGGAATTCGGATGACGTCTATAGACCAAAAATCGATGTCCAGCGCCATCTTTAAATCAAAGATGGCGGCTATCGATTTTAGAAAAAGTGGAAAAAACTGCTAAATACCCTTCAATATGGGTATTTTTGGAATCGACGTGTAGAGACCGAAAATGTTGCGAAGTGCCATCTTGAAATCAAAGATGGCGGCTGCCGATTTCAGAAAAAGTGGCAAATACTGCCAAATACTTTACATTATGGATATTTTCGGAACAACGACGACGTGCAGAAAACTGGAATGCCGAAATGGCGCCAGTCATCAATATGCCGTCTATTGTAAGGTAAAAATACCGATATTGTGGGGGTATTTAACATTACTATCGAGTTTATCTGCAACCAGAAGCTGCAATCTTGGAATTCAATATGGCATCGGACAGAAATTGCTAGTCCGTAGTTATCACCGCGAATCCCAAAAGACCCACATTCATGGGTATTAGGGTATCCCATAATTGCACTATGTCTGGAAATCTGGGGGCTCAACCTCAAAATGATAGCTAAAAGTGTAACAAACAAACTTTTGTCTGGCGGCAACTCTGGGAAATGTGGTTTGGAGGTCGCTCCGACGAGATTTTTGAAAAAAGTCCATTTTTCATAGCTATTCTCCAATAAATATTTTTAGTTCTTTAAATTTCAATTAAATCTCACCCTTTTATATTTTTCGCAGATTCCCAAGGATCAAAACTATAAGAAAAAAATGCTACGGCATGTTCTGTGTCCAATTTGTTAATTACATTTTTTCAAATTCTCTAGAATGATGTTTTTTGTTGTACATCGCTACATTCAATCATCAAAAGTGGGTATCAAACATGCGCTATTATCGATCAAATCCAGCAGAAATATGGGAAATTTTATTAGCAAAAACTTTGCCCAATACACTTGAACCTCATTTTTAACCGTTAAAAAGCTATTCGTGATTTACTGTGGAAAGAAAAGTTCAGAATTTCAATACTTGCAGTATGTCCCCACCAGCAAATCAAACTATCATTGAAATCGATAAATACAAATCACCTACTTTGTTTGCAAATCACTTGATAAAATTTGTTTCGAAGTTTCTACGTCAACGATATGGCTGAATGAGGGGTGAAGCTAATTTTTGACTTCCCTAGTAGCACCCTTGTTATAAATTGGTCTTGGAAACTTCTTTACGACTTATTTCAGTTATAAACAAGTTGCTGCAACTTTTTGGGACAAAATTGCTCGGCTTGGGTTATCAAAAGATTCACCCGAGACCTAGTTAAACAGCAATATTTGATTCAGGGGAGAAAACAGCATCGAAAAGAGTACCCTGAGAAATCGTAGAATATATTAAAATGAAATATAATCATTACAATCCAATGACATTTGTGTGAATGTATCTGACATTGTATATTGCACTAAAAGAGTAGGGAAGGCAATGGGGGTACTCGCTTTACAACTGCTTTTATGAGATTGAGCAAATGTGCTTTGAATAACCCATCCGAACAACTCGAGAGATGGGAAACTCCGAAGTTATTTTAGGATTTATCTTTACTTACATTGATATAAGTAAGGACCGGAAAGCATACAGTAAGCCCCCCATGTATAACTACGCATTTTAAATGGAGCACATATTTTTTAATACATCTTATCATACCAAACTTGACAAGATCAGAAACATCGAAGTTATTGCAGTTTGAAGCTTTACTTCAAACTCCGAAGTTATTTCAGTTTGGAGTCTGACTTTCATTGGTACACCGGCAGTGTTGGCAGAAAAAGGGATTTTTGGCATTTACTTTGAAACATTGATCTTTGAACAGCTATAACTTTTTTTAGGGGCATTCTAGCACCACACATCTTTCAGCAAAGTTGTTAGGCACTGGGCTATACTTTAACGTATTTAGATGCATGATTTGCGCAAAATTGTGGTCTTAAGTAATAAAGATGCAAAAAAGTAGGTTTTCCCATACTACTTTTCATACAAATTTAAAACGCAATGCAAAAAGGCGCACTACAACCAATCGTCCCCAAATTGTGTACATTTCCCAAGTAACATTTCTGGTTTTATTAGGGTTCTGTAGACCATGATTTAGACTTATAGAATGCTTTGAAACCCTGATAAAACTTGCAATGTTGCTTGGGTTGCTTAAGACCCTAAATCGAACCAAAAAAACATTGTTCTGAAAAAAAATGATCATGATGACCCATCCTAATGCTCATGCTCAATTTCTAAATCATTTATTTTGTTTATTTTGTTTTAAATTATTAAATTATTAATTAATTAGGGGAAAAGTTGTCTTCGGCAATACCTTAACCTATCATCGTCAGGGGGGTAAACAAAGTCCTTGAGCACTCAAATTTGGCCAATAGTTGCTCTGAAACACAATGTATCCACATGACAAAATTGAGCTCTCAAGGACGTTGTTTACCCCCCTGACGATAATAGGTTAAGGTATTGCCGAAACCAACTTTTCCCCTATCTCGTAATCCTACGTCAACAATGCGGTCGAACTTTGGACACAACCCTTAACTTTTTTCTTAAAGGGAGTTCCAGCCAGTGGCTGATTCGTCACTTCCTTTAAAATTATTTTTTTAAACCAATCTACCAACCAAAATTAAGCAAATTTGCTCCTAAATGATGAAAACATACAATTTTCAAATAGCTCACACATGCCAATCCACAGGAGCCTGAATGAGTAAATGAAAATTATTGAAACAAACTTTCCGACGACCACATTACAGAATCTGGTCATGCGATGAAGTATTACAAAATAGGCATACCTTTTATACAAAACTGTAATAATTTCCAAAACTCATAGAAAATATTGAAGGGGCCAAAACAATTAGCTCTGCGCTTTATCCTAAAACTACACAATTTTGTTATCATTAATGTATTAATTCCTTCTTAAATGAGTTGTTTAGACAAAAAAGTTTGTTCGTCCCTGTCGACCTATTTGAGTGAAGTTGGACATAAAATGAACATAATTTTTGCATCAGCCTAACCATCAGGTACCATTCAAACTATTTGTGGAATAGTTCTACCATCTAGGTTATCGTTCGTTTATGGTATTTGTTTATTTTGGCATACATATTCTATAGGCCACTTTAGTCCACCATATTCCTCCAACAACTCAACCATATTAAACCAAGAAAAACACACAACAGGATGTGCTATAGTAGTTCCCAGCCGGCTGTGATCGACGACGACGACAACCTAATAAATCTTGTCTGTTTTTCCAGCACTCTGGGCGTCGCCAACGTGGGCGGCATGTGTCGTCCGGACAAGTCATGCAGCGTCAACGAGGACAACGGGATCACCCTGGCGCATACGATTTCCCACGAGCTCGGCCACAAGTGAGTACCCTATCGACAAATATCTACTTTCACAGCATATGTCTACACATACTTCACGTTATAACAACACTTCCTGTCTGTCTATCATGCAATTGACACTTGTTATTATCGATCTGTACATCTTGCGGTTGCACGCGGTGTGCGTTCTCCAGTCGCACCAACCAGCCGTTGCAGTCTTCACGTATTGGTACACGCTAATCTGCGATGACAGGTAGGTTGACTGCATATATCCCGATCGGCACGCAGGGCCGGTGTATTGCGACCAACTACCGAATACCACCTAGTAGCTGAACCGAATAATTAACCAATATACCCACGTAGAGCCCACGACGACAAATTCGTTTGCTTTGCCGCGCGTTCGGTACAAGCTCTGAAGGAAGCGGGCGCGGGGTGCGGGCGTGGATTATTGATTATTAAACAGTTTTAATTGTTGGTCAATATTTACCGACTGCTGCTACTACCTTGACGGGTGGGTAGTCGGGGAGCTGAAAGATGATTGATCGCCAGCCGACAAATGCGATTAGATGAGGGAAATTATTCTACCCCGGAGTCAACATATGTGAATTGATATGAGGACATTCCATGGTCAAAGTAACGTTGATGGGATGTGAACTTTTTTGAAGAATTTGGTTCTACTTTTGCGAATTGAATACGAATTATTGAAGCTCCAAATCGATCCCAGAGTTACTGTATGTACACCTTTTCCTTGCAAGGAAAACCCCTGTCGAGTGATTGATTACTTCCATAATGAATTATTCAAACAGCTATCGAAGAGAGATACCTTTCGATACCGCTCTCAATCACACACATACACTCACGCACCGCATTGTCGTACGAGCGTGCAAGAGATCATATTCGAACCTGCCGAACTCTGCGAGCTTGCATGTAAACACACGGTAAAGGAGCGAAAAATGCCGCCGTGGTGAAACCCTTACAAGATTTATTGCCACTAATTGTATCGACACTTTGAATAATTTATTGTTCCAGTCTCGGGTGCAGATTGGTTCGTCCGACCCTCAGCAGCGACCATCCCTCATCACCCTACCCACCACCTTCGATGCCCAACTGCCATCTGTACCGTCGCAATACGGATGCAGTTGGACTCGAATTTCATCGCGATTGCAAACGACGACGACAACGCGCTAGGATTGTAACTAATTTGTTGCATTTATAAACCAAATTCGATTAATTTTATTGCTCCTGTTGCGGCGCCTGTAGCTGGGTTCGCCCCTCATCGGTGTTGCAACGATGTACGGCACGTTTGATCGAGACAAGCAATATTGTAAATATGGTAACCTAATGGAGCGCGTAATGTTAATAGAGCTGTAGAGAAAAGGAAAAGGTTTGTCCCGTGGTGATAAAATATGTATCTCTGCTGCCGGTTGACACCACCACGGCGACAAGGGGTGTCAAATTGATAAACGGTTGATAAGATTTCAGTTCAACGCTTATTGGATACAATGGATTAAAATACATGTTCAACTTAAAAACCCCCTGCTCCCCCAGTGCAGTTCGATCTGTATTGAGGTCCCCAAACACTATGTCAGATTTGAACAAATTTGGTTAGGATCTGGATTTGAGGAAGAATTTTAAAATTTGTATGGGAAATGGAACAAAACTATTCATTTGCTTGTTAATAATTCAAAAACTGCTCAATTTATACCAAACCTGTGCAATGCATTGACTTTTTGACTTGACCATTAGTACCATTAGTTTTGAATTTAACCATCAACCGCTGAATCTATATGAATTATCGCGTATTTCTGTTGTTCATTACATACCAAGTGAAATTCGAGAACGTAATTTCATTTGAATAGCTTTTTTAACCAGGGTTTATTAACGTCGGTCACAGCTTGGGGGCTGTCCATAAACTACGTAGACAGTTTTTGGGATTTTTTACCCCCCCCCCCCTCCCCCAGCGTAGACAACTGCCCATACAAATTTTTTTTTAAATTTGTATGGGCCGTGGATAATTGTCAACCCCCCCCCCTAAACTGTCTACGTAGTTTATGAACAGCCCCTTGTTACGATTGCATGAACCATGCGTAAAGAGCAAATCGAAATAACACTTTCGCGTGAAAGTGGAACTTAATGAAGGTCTAAGTACTCTTTCGTAGCTTTTATTTTTATAATTTGAAAGATCGTCGGTTGCAGTGGCTTGCTTACTGAGTAGAAAAACGCGGATCCAGGTCCTTTCGTATTAAAAATGTATGGTAAGATCGCTTGTTTATCGTGTATTTTATAAAACTTTTCGTTGTCGTCGGTGCCGGGTTTGAATAGTTATAACTACTTGAGTAACGGTATAATGTGATATGAGGGGCTCGGTGGCCTTAGAGCAACCGTTTTTGCTTACTGAGCAGAACATCATGAATCTAATCTCAAGCCCATCCACATTCAAGATTCAATTTTTATCTGTTAACATGACTACATGGTAATAACAGCAACTCGATGATTAAAAAGTGGAAAACGTTTTTGCTTACTGAGCAGAAGACCGTGGGTTCAATCCCAAGCTCCTTCGCGTTATATGATCGTTAGGACATCAATTCAGCTTATCGTTTACCCTGCAAACCCAACCCTATTACCCAATATCCCAGTGATTCCTCGTGGAAGTGCAAAGGTGTTCTCGGCTTCCATCAAAGCGAGTGTCACGTCAACACATTCCTACCCCTTCCTTTCTTGACCTGTGTTCGGGCGCGGCCGGCGCTATTATTGCCTAGTTTGAGATCACCAGTTTCACACATTGGTGATGATTGATAGCCCCAAGCATCGTCTATTGGTTCTCTGTGTAATTACAGCTTCTCTTCTTCTTCTTACACGCATTTCAAGCTTATTGTTTAGCGCATATTAGCTTATTGCGTGGTGATTATTGAAGCTCAGGCGATGATCAACACGAGACCACTGACGTACATTCCGTTAGAGTCAGCTGATCAGGAAGCCTTACCCTCTAACCATTTTCTGCTTGGGAGCTCAAGTGGAGTGAAACAACTTCCGACGATGCTCATGGATTATCGTGTAACATTGTACAGGGGATGGAAGCTTACCCATCACTTGACGGACGAAATATGGAAGCGTTGGATCAAGGAGTACTTGCCGGTGATTTCGAGAAGGTTGAAGTGGTTCGAGGGAGTGAAGGAGATAGCGGAAGGAGATCTGGTGCTGATCGTGGGCGATATGGTATAAAATCAGTGAATCAGAGGAAAGGTGGACAAGGTCATTCAAGGAAAGGATAGACGGGTCTGGCAACCGTTGGTGCGGACGGTGACCAATGGTAAAGCTGCCATTACTCGACGTCGTAGATGATGGTAAACCGGAAGCCGAACACAATGGTTTACGGGCGGGGGAATGTGATGACGAGTACCCCTCGGTGCGTAACGGTCACGAGTATCGACGAGCATCGCCGAACCCACTGGAACGAAGAAACGTCATCACGGTGGGATACGGAAGATCAGGCGAAAGAAACGAAAAATGTAAACATTGCCAATAACCAGTTCGCATGCTACAGTGTTGGCTAAAATCAAGATCAGTAAATCAAAATCAGCTATCTTTCAAGATCAATATCACCTTAAATCACAGGAACCAATATTACAAGCCATCATCACCACGAAAATCACAAGTGATTTTCGATTCCCAAAATCAACCAGCATCAATATCAACCAAGATCAAAATCATAGGATTAGAAGATATGTTAAATTCTAGAGTTTGGGGCATTCCGGAATTCAAGTCAACATTCCGGATGAAATTAAAATGGTGGATTTAAACCCAAGATAGTTTCTACAAATCCAAGATGGCGGACCAAAATCCAATATGGCGGCCTCCGGTCAGTGTATATGCATTCAAACCCATGCAATATGGGTATCTATGGAATGGGCTCGATGAGTACAAGTGGAAAATAGACATCAGCCGCCAATTTGGAATCCAAGATGGTGGACCAAAAACCAATATGGCAGCCACCGGACAGCGTATATGCATCTAATCCCTTGCAATATTGGTATCTATGGAATGAGCTCGATGAGTAGAAGGGGAAAATTGACATCTACCACCATTTTGGAATCCAATATGGTGGACCAAAAACCAATATGGCAGCCACCGGACAGCGTATATGCATCTAATCCCTTGCAATATTGGTATCTACGGAATGGGCTCGATGAGTAGAAGTGGAAAATTGACATCTGCAGCCATTTTGGAATCCAAGATGGTGGACCAAAATCCAATATGGCAGCCACCGGACAGCGTATATGCATTTGAACCCTTGCAATATTGGTATCTATGGAATGGGCTCGATGAGTAGAAATGGAAAATCGACATCGGCCGCAATTTTGGAATACAAGATGGCGGACCAAAATCCAATATGATGGCCTCCGGTCAGTGTATATGCATTCAAACCCATGCAATATGGGTATCTATGGAATGGGCTCGATGAGTACAAGTGGAAAATAGACATCAGCCGCCAATTTGGAATCCAAGATGGTGGACCAAAAACCAATATGGCAGCCACCGGACAGCGTATATGCATCTAATCCCTTGCAATATTGGTATCTATGGAATGAGCTCGATGAGTACAAGTGGAAAAAAGACATCAGCCGCCAATTTGGAATCCAAGATGGTGGACCAAAAACCAATATGGCAGCCACCGGACAGCGTATATGCATCTAATCCCTTGCAATATTGGTATCTACGGAATGGGCTCGATGAGTAGAAGTGGAAAATTGACATCTGCAGCCATTTTGGAATCCAAGATGGTGGACCAAAATCCAATATGGCAGCCACCGGACAGCGTATATGCAGCTGAACCCTTGCAATATGGGTATCTACGGAATGGGCTCGATAAGTGGAAGTGGAAAATTAACATCTGAATGTTAATGCATATACATTGTCCGGAGGCCGCCATATTAGATTTTGGTCAGCCATCATGGATTTCAAAATGGATGTCGGTTTTTTACTTTGACTGTAATACCAAGCTATTGATCCGTTTGGTTATTTTGTTACCTTTAAATCAGCCT